ATGCATAACACACTATATAGACATGCTCTATTCATACATGCGTATAGACCCTAAAGACATCCATACATATATGGGGGGGGGGAGGGAGCGCATTTGGGGGGGGAGGGACTGCATGGTTCTGCAATTCAAACGGGGTTTTGTGGGTGACGCTATAAAACCCTACAGATCGTGAATGAGGAAACGGCCGAGGGGAAAAAAAAAAGAAAAGAAACAAGGCAGATGAGAAGCGCCTCGGAAACAGTCGAGGAAAAGCAGAGCGCAGGGCAGGAAGGCGTTAAGCTCCCGAAGTTAACTTTTCAGCCTCTGCAACGGGTGGGGAGGTGGAGAGGGGACGGGAGGCTCCTCGCTTCAGGGAGATAGTCACCTTAGCGGTCACGGTGGGTCCTCGCTTTCGGACGGTCTCGGCCCCTGGAACGCGTTCCCAGGCGCCCCAGAAAAGGCAGAGGAGCAGCAAGCGCGGCGCCAAGCGGTCCATCTTCCCGTCCTCTCCGCGACAGCCCAGCGCCTGCGCGGCTCTCCCTCGCGGCTGACACTCTGGCAGGGGCGGAGCAGCGCAGAGGGAAAGGCGCGGGCGGCGCTTCCAGTCGCGAAGGAACCGGTTTCCATGCTTTCGGTCCGTGGTGGGCTGCGGCGGATGGCCTTCTTTGCCTAGCCTGGAGGGTTAAGGTGGCTCCCAGCTGCGGGTGCGCCTGCGGATCTCCGGCGCTGAGCGTGGAGCGTCATTCAAATACCACATTAGGACATTAGAATTAGAAGGATTCGAATTAGAACAGAGCTGGAAGGGACTTTGGAGGCCTTCTAGTCCAGCCCCCTGCTCAAGCAGGAGATCCTATACTGTTTCAGACAAGTGACTGTCAAGTCTCTTATTAAAAGCCTCCAGTGATGAAGCCCCCACGATTTCTGAAGGAAAGCTGTCCAAGAACATGAAGGACTTCTAGGACGGTCCTAACCTCCCAATTTTGAAATGAAATAAATGGACCTTATTTTTGCATTTGTTTTTCTTTTGCCCTAAACAAATTAGATTTTATTCAGAGGCAATTAATTATGTACTGTGTTTTACCCTAAATATTAGTACAGGTTTATAGCCTGCTGGCAACTGATGCAAGAAAAATACAGTGAATTTCTATAACTTTTTAATATAACATAATGTGTTTAAGTAGGTTTGTGTAAAACCTACTGTGGCTTATGTTACAGTATGGATTGTTTTTATCCAGCCTAGGGAGGCAATCCTATCTCATTTCAGAATATTGTTTTAGTTTCTCATCACAAAAGATCATCAGCATGCCAAGGACAGATTCCAAACATCTGGAATTGATTCTGGCATTTTATTTTTAGCACACAGCTTTCTCCTACAAACTTTGTGTGTGTGTTTATGTGTCTATATTTTTTTTATTCAATCGCATCCATTTCTTTGCATGATGTTCAGAAGTGGTTTGTTATTGCCTCTTTCCTAGGGCTGAGAAAAAGTGACTGGCTCAAGATCATCCAGCTATCTTTATGCCCAAGGCAGGACTCGTGCTGTCTTGGTTTCTAACCTGATACCTTAATCACTACAGCAAACTGTCTCTCTTTATATTGTTAGTCTCTTAAACCCAGTAAATGTCCTAAAGGTAAGGTAAAATTGAAAAAGTAAAAAAAAATCCCATGATTTGTTTCTTGATAATACAATTCTGGCTACTTGGTTAAAATTCAGCACCTGAATTTTATTGGAGGGAGAGGGAGAGCGACTTGAAGCATTATGAAATAAATGTCTCTGATTGGGATTTTTGTCCAATTTATATCTCATAAATTAGGCTATAGGATACTGCAAGATTAGGCTATAGGATACTGCAAGATCTGAATAATCAAAAGGATGATTACCAGGATGACGGGAGTAACGTTTTAGAAACAGGAAATGTTGAAACAAATCAATGTCAACCACATGGTACCTTCTAAATCACTGACAGTTTTAAGCCAGAATTTGTTTTTGTTAACTATCATAGATTCTCTCACAGGAGTTGTTGGCCCTTTGCTTACAGGCCAGAACATGCAAACAATAAAGTTACAAATAAACTTAACACAGTTGTTGTTGTTTAAAATTGTGATATATAATATCAGCATATAAACCCTGAGAAGTTTAATGTAAACATGGGCCACAATTTAGAAGCAATTCAACATTTAGAATAGACAAAAAAAATGGGTGTTGAAGCCTTTGCAAAACTGAATCATCTTGTAATATTCTTTGCAGATGTTTTCCTGACATCTTTTTCTTAAACGTTTTTCTCTTTTTTGCGGCAATTTTTTTTATCAATTTGACATACAAATAAATTATAATTATTTATTGACAGCTGCTATTTTAACAGATGACACTAATTGATTTTGTAACATTTTGAAATTGAATGGAGTACAGAGAAAGGGTATGTTTTACCATATAGTGATGTTATGTTCTGCTTTGTGTGACATAAACAATATTTCCATTAAATCCTTTAAACATGTCTGTGTCCTACAATTTATCTTACAGATAAAGAAATATTCTAACGGCAAACTCTAGTGATATATCCTTCCCATAAAAATACCATGACTGTGACACAGTAATTCTGTTCAATTTCTCTAGCTCTTTTCAGACACCACTATTGCCAACAAAATGTTAAGCTGTAAATCTTTTTAGCAAAAACTTTTATTTATCCTTATTCAGCAGGCATTCATAAAGCTATAATGGGGTAAGTAAAGGACAATTGAGTTTCAGAATAAGTCAACATTCCTTCATGGAGGGCAAGTGGGTCTCACTACTGTTTATCTTACACACATGCAATGGTATATAATTGCCCTTCTGCCCAGAGGTCAGGTTGTGGGGGGGGCAGAATATAATAAATAAGCTCTTTTTAAATCTGCGTTGTGATTTTTCACACAAAGACATATGAATGAAAGAGAGCTGCTTTCATCTTGATGAAAACATTAGCTCCTATGGACACCTGGTTTTCTTCATATCCAGCGGGTGATTGCACAATGCACTTAATTTGTTAAATGATTATTATATGAATGATCTGGTTTTGCATAATGTACTGAACTGATAGGCTTATATAAGGCAACAAAAAAGTGAAATACATAAATATAGCCACCAGGTCTGATTAAGAAAATTGAGTGAACCAGTCCATGGGATCAGAAATTAACTTCAGAGTTCAGAGCAATAGAGCTTCATAAAATACAGCACTTTTTTTTCCCAACAATTTTGTGCAGTCAGATTTTTTTTTTGGTTTACTGCTTATATCAGACACGCAGAATGGCAAAATTATATTGATAGAAAAGGCACTAGTGCACCAAATATAAAAACTGAACAAATATGTAGTATATCTTTTTTTAAATAGTGTGTTTAAAAATAAATAAATCAAAATTTAATCTAAATTGTAAAATTCAGTTTAATCAAATATAGCAGTGTTTCTCGTTGACATGGTTTTCATAGTATTTTACAAGAACAGACAAATTGTATTCACAATTTAATATATTGTTATTGCATGAAGTAGGCATGTGAGATATATGTGTGTGTATGTGATTAATCTTAATTTAATACATTGTTTATATTTGTAGTTTGTCTTTTTCATTTTTCATTTTCTTTATTCCTACAATTTCATAACTAATTTGTCAGGTGTTATTCTTTGTTTTTAATTTGTTTTGTACATTTTGCTTTTTTTACATTTCTCTTTTTAAAAATTGCAATAAAATTAAAAGCAAAGAATGTTTTTGGACATCAAAGAAGCATCATTGTCATGCTGATGATTTACAGTGTAAATTTCAAGGCCAACACCTTAGCCATTGAACTATAATGCTCTCTTAAAAGCTGTCTAAAATCCCTTGCTTCCACATCACATCACCAATTAGACAAGCCAGTATCCCACAATGGTTTTGTTAATGGTCATCACTTAAAGAAAAGAAAGTTACTAAGCCAAGATTATCAACACATCCAAAGGATGGCCAAGGCCATTGACACTGATAGAAAACTGATTGGAAATCATAGTCCTTTAAGGATTCAAATCATATATTTGAAAGAGAGTGATTTTCTACTATGAACCTGCTCAGACTTTCACTATCCCACTATCCATAGAAAAATCTTTGTTATGAGCATAAACAAATTATTTTGGCTGCTGTTCTCAGGTTCTTAAAAGATTCTGCCAAGAGAGCTCAGTTTAGCTTCCTCTATCACACTCTTTCATCAACAGACAAAGCATTTTATTGAGAATAGCATTTCCCAAACTTAAGATACAGTAGGTAGACTACAACTCCCTGAATGGCTGCAATGCTGGCTGGGGAATTCTGAGAGTTAGTCTACCTATCTTAAAATAGCCAAGGCGGAGAAATACTGATCTAGAGACAGACTTTAAATATATAACTAAGACTGGGTGCTGAATTGATTGCAATTGTTTGGTTGTTTCTACTTTTATTGATGCATTTTAAAAGTTCAATATGTTTTTATTTGCGTTTTAGTTGTTTTTTAACAATCTGATTGTTAGCTCCATTGCGTGCCAGGATGTAAATTCAACAAATAAATAATTGCACTAATTACTCAGTGTCAGAGGAATTTAGGGCAAGCTTGGGTTCAAATGCCTCTGAACATGGAGATTACTTATAATGTCAAACAGCTGTTAATAAACTTAACCCCTTCACAATAGGATTTTTTTGATTTTTGAGCAGCACCAGCTGGAAAGATGGTTCTATGCTTTAAAAAATATGTTTGACTTGTCTTTCAGATTTGTCTTCCATGCCAATTTTATTTATTGCATAACATTTCCTCCAATTTTTACTCTATTGTAAATCAAATTCAGCTAGAGCAATGTAATAATTCTGTTAGGACTAGTCTTTTAAATGAATTTGGTGAGTCTAAAAAAGTTATTAGATAGTTATGTGTTTTGGAACTCCATATAAATGTTTGTTTTTAAGCCCCAACCAGTGGTGGATTCCTACCGGTTCGGATCGGTTTGCCCAAACCAGTAGTGCTTTGGCAGCATAGATTGCTGAAATCAGCAGCTATCCAGGCCTGCCATACCCCCAAACTGGTTCTCCGGGTGGCGCCATAGGCACAGGCATCTTGTTTTTCAGTTTTAGGCATGCACATAACAATTTTAATTGGACTGCGCATGGGCGCACAGCGTGCACCAGGCGTGCACAGTCAACATCAAGCATGCAAAGCATGTGCCCTTATGCAGAGTGTGCGCCCATATGCAGCATGCACACAATCGAACCGGTAATAATGCCTGCCGGAACCCACCTCTGGCCCCAATCATAATTGTTTATGATATAATACGTAATGATCTTCTGAGGCACAATAAATATTAGATTTTTTTTCTAGATTAACTTTTCAGAGTTTATGCATTAAAATAAAAACTTTAAAGTTAGAGATAAAAATCCAGGGTTTTTTTTCTGAACAGGCTGCTATATATTCAATATACTGTGAAGAACTGTGTATATACCAGTTACAGTTCACAAATGGCTAACCTTGCCTATAAATTTTACTAAGTTCTAA